ACCTCATACGGATGTGTTGTTTATGAAAGTTCTGCTTGCCCTGTCGCGGCCGCGAGTGGAAACAAAGACTGCCCAAAATGGAACCTAGTTTATCGAATCACAAGGCCAGTCAAGGCCTAGGCAGGGACTCTATACCTTGGAAACAATATCTGCCGGGTCTGTTGTTTATTCATTTGTGTGTAAAACTGAATTGAACATTTTTTTTTTCTGAGCAGGTAACTAATTTAATTTACTGTAACGCTTAAGCCATCTGCCGCCCTACTCCTCTGGGCTAATGTGATCTGTAAGTATCGATGTCAATTATGTGTAAATGTAATGGTGTTAAAAATGAATCAAGATCACGCCAAAGCAACATTTTTTTTTTTTCTTTTTACCATTCATCACACCTCACATTCCCCCACAGATCACCACCACGCTACACCAAGCCAGAAGACACGCTCGACGCCGAGACTCACGAACGACGTCGAATTCCGCCCGGCCGCGCCCTTTCGCACGCCTCGCCCAGACGACCGCGCCGGCTGATCCTCGAGGCCCGAACTGAGACACGAGACTGGCAAGTGGCTGGCTCGGCGTCTGAAGGCACGTTCACTCCTCTTCTCGCCTCGCCCCGCCGTCTCCTTTGCTCCCACCAGCTTGGGGAGTTCTTCCACTGCCCGATCCACTGGCTTCCACTGGCAGGTCACCCCACTGGGGCTCAATTTCAACTCTGGCAGCAGTCGTTGTTGGCGTTTGTTGTCTCTGTAATGGAACAAATGTGTTAATCTTTTGGTTTCTTGTCTGGCTGGCTGGCGTTCCTTGAAATGAATATATGATAATAAATGAATAGTCATGTCAGTAATAATGATAATAATATGAATGATAGCTATGATAATGGCGATTGATGATAATGATGGTGATGATGATAATGATAATGGTAACAAGGATGATGATAATGATAACAATGATGATGATGATAATGAAAATGAGCATGCGATTCAAAATAAGGATGATAATGATGATAAAGACTGTGATAATCACGATTAATGCTGACGATTGTGATAATGATGATGATAATGGTAGTGATAATGATACGAATAAGATCAATATCCCTGATGATTACCATGAGGATGATATTACTAGAAATAGTAGTCCCAGCAGCAGCAGCAACACTAACAAGAACAACAAGAACAATGATCAACAAAGCGAGAGCGAAAGGGACCTGTAGTTCCACCTACCAGGAGACCGATTTCTCCTCCCCGCCACAAGCAACAGAGGCCCCAGTAACCGCCTCAGCAACAAGAAAATCGGTCTTGAATCTCACTCTATTCTAATGGGCGTTTGTCTGTCTGTCTCGCCTAATGGGATGACTCTCTGGCTCGGCTGTCGGGGAATTTCTTTTGTTATTGGGTTTACTATTGCTATCGTGACTATTTTTGATACTAATTACTGTACCTTTTATTAGTAATGCTACATATATGAGTTTTTTTTTTTTTTTTTTTTTTTTTTTTTTGCTGTGGTTATTGTCATTATCGTCATCCGTATTGTCATTAATAAGAGCAATAATATCGTTACCACTTGTATCACCATTACTGTTAATGCTGCTGCTTCTACTACTACTCCAACTACTACTACTGCGGCTACTGCTGTTGTTACTACTACTGCTGCTATTGCTATTACTACTACTACTACTGCTACTTCGACTACTACTACTACTGCTACTTCGACTACTACTACTACTACCATGTCTAATGCTATACTAATACTACTTCTATTTTCTCTACTACTATACTACTACTTCTACTATCAATCCATTATTTTAGGATCATTGCTTTTAAACGAACACGTATACTGGTAAAACAAGAATGATTGGGCTGTCTTATGATATAATTTTCTTGTGTGTTTAAGAGCGCTAAATTATACGTATTTTGCTCTTTTTTTTGTTCATATCCATATATACGAATCATACATACGATAAAGGAACACATGTGATGACTCTAGTTTAGGTAACAGCGATGAGTATTTGTTGCGGTAAAACAGGAATTTAATCCGGAGCGAGTGACTTTACTTATACAAGGGGTCCCGGGTCACGTGAGACATACACGTGAGGCTCCCTATCATCCCCTCCCCCTTCCTCCCTCCCACCGATCTTTTAGGCTTCTCCTTCCGCCACCCACCCACTATCCATTTCCTACCCTCTACCCACTTATGAATCCCGTTCCTTCCCCTACTCACTCATCAATTCTCTCCCTCTTCCTTACTTATTAGCAGTCTCACTCTACCATCATCCGAAAATTATTTCCCTTCCCCCACCTACCAGCTCTCTTCCTCTCCCTTCACCCCATTCAGCAGCCCTCTCCCTCTCCCCACTCAGTAGCCCTTTCCACCCCCTTCACCTACCAACCCTTCCTTCCCTCTCCTTCCCCAACATACCCCAACTCCCAGCTAACGCACCTTACGTCTTCTCCACGATACTTTATCCGGTACTATGGTATCCCTCCTCCTCCTCCTCCTATTACAATGCCCCTTCTCCACCACAATGCACCCCTCTCCTTTCCCTTACTTCATAGATTATCCCTCCTTCCTCCCACAGCCCCCCTCCCCCACCTCCTCTCTCGTAGCATAATACCACTACCACGACACCTTTACTCTTTAGTCAAAATACCCTTCCCCTCCTTCCCCTTACCTTCCCCTCCTACCAATAGCACCCGCACCACTCCCTCCTACCACAATATTCGCTACCTCTCCTAATAACTCGAAACAACCTCCTCTCCCCTCAACTCACCACACCCCACCTTTCCCTGCTACAAGCCAGTCTTCTTTCTTACGGTAAATATCCTTATCTATCTCCCAGTCCATGTTCCAGCGCCGGGTTTCTCCACCCCCGCCTCCGTACCACCCCCGCCTCCGTACCACAATACCCTCGCCCCTCCCATGCCACAGTTTCTTCTCCTTTCTCCCTGTATCAAACCGCTGCTACTTTCATTCTCCCATATTGTCTTTTCCTCCATCACTCTCTTCTTCTCTCTCCCTTTCTTTCTTGCTCTGTCGAATCCCCCACCTTTCACACCTTCCCTTTCCCTTACTCTAAGTCCTCTCTATCTTTCCCTACCATAATCACCATCTTTAGCCTCCTCCTATAATACTCTTCCTTCACTCCCTACCATAGCATTCCCCTCTACCAAGGACGACCCTCTTTCCCTGCCATGGGAACCCCTCCCCCTCACCCTGTCCCTACCCCCTCTCTGCCAAAGACCTCCCCCCCCCACCCCACGCACTATGTTTGGGTATCGAATGCTTCGTCGGATCAATTTTCAATACCTTGTCGGCGTTTTTTTTTTCGCTTTCTTTTTTTCTTTTTTGTTGTCTCCCTTTTGCCTTCGCATTCTTTTCACATGCGTCTTTTCTCTCTTCTTCTTGTTTTAACTGACTGAATAAAAAAAAAAAAAAAAATATATATATATATGTATATATTATATATATATATTAGATAGATATGACAATTCAGGACACAGATTTAGGCATAAGAAATGTCAACAAACTAAAAGCGTAACATATGGATGCAGGCATGTATACATATATATAATAATATATATATATATATATATAATATATATATATAATATATATATATATATATATATATATATATATATATTTATGTGTGTGTGTGTTTGTGTGCATATAATGTACGTATATTAATGTATAATGTATATATTATTTATATATTAATATACATAAATATATATATAATATATATATATATATAATATATATATAATATATTATATATATGATATGTGTGTGTGTGTGTGTGTGTGTGTGTGTGTATGACCATTTGCTTCCTACCCTTTTCCCCAACTGCAAACCCTCCGCCCTTTGCTCACCTCATCCTCGTCTGCAACCAGCGGGTCAAGCCAATAGGCCTATGAACGAGAATGAAAATGATACTGTATTTTTTCTCACCAGTCAACCCTTTTCTGTCCTCCTCTTATTTACTAAAAGCCACGTGCGACTCATGTCAAATTATGGGTCGAGTGCAGAAGAATTTATTCATCTTCACGCTAAATATATAGAGATTGTATATATAATTACGTAGACGATAGATACACTGACACTCACATTCATACAAGCATATGCACACACAAACATGTTGAAATATAAACTTAAGCGCTTAGATTCACAGTATCACCTTGGACACATGAATAATACGAACACATATAAACACATACATTCTAACATCTAAAATATGCACAGAAACACACATACATTAAAACGTAATCCTTAAAACAGAGATACACAAACAGACGCATATAAACACATGCCTAATCAGACACACACTTGTAAATACGAATTCACAAACAAAGACAAGGATGTATTGCTAAACAGGTAATCGTCATAAAGCATTGGAGGTAGAAATACAATTTGCGGTCGTCCTATAACCTGCTCCTAGCACCTGACCCCGTCTAGCCAGCTCGTTGGAATGTGTGTAAGAATATATCCTATATGTGTACCCGCTTGTAGCTTATAGTTAATACACCACTGACTTATAAGCATAAACATACTGAAAAAATTACAAAATATAATACATGTACACAAACACACACACACACATACACAAAATGTGTAAGCCTAATCGTGCACACATACACACACAAAACAAACAGACACGCACAATTTTCCACCAAACAAAAGCAGTTTATTAATAGAATGCACAAGACGACAAGGATTTTTTTTTTCGTCACAAAAAAAACCGGTCGTTGACAGTTTTCATCCCTAGACCCACTCCGCTGGCTGACCACATGCGATCGTCTGACAACTTTTTTCGTTTTGTTGGCTTTTGGCGATGGGTGGAGGCGCTTTTGCTTGTCGGTGTTGTTAGAGCAACCTCTGGATACTATATTGGTGTATCCCTCGAAGGCTTACGCTTGGTAAATGTTTAAGAAATGAAATAAATGCAAATGATTAAACTTGAATGAAATGTGTTTATATCCTCCTATTATTATATTATCATCAACTTCAACCTACAAAGGTATTGGAATTACACGCCAAAGCACTCAGTGTCCACATACGGTTACATCGTAATGTATTATTGAATGGTATCACTTAGTGTTAGTATAATCAAATAAACATTGTATGAATATAAGATATTACAGAGAACGATCAGAGATCGCGAAACGCACCTGTCATCTGTCATTTTCTGTTTCATTTGGTAAATATTGTTGGAACATTGGAATGTTATGCGCACACACACTCACACACTACAGTGAAAATAATATATGTGTATACACAATCACACACACACAGCACAACATCATATATATATATATTAATTATATAATATATATATATATTATAAATAGTATATATATGTATGTATATGTAATATGTACTATATATTACATATATTATATTATACATATATATATAATATATATATATATATATATATATATATATTATTATATATAACACACACATACACACACACACACACACACACACAACATATATATTACTATATATATATATATATATATATATTTATATATTATATGAATATAATATATATATATATATAATATATATAATATATATATATATAATATATATTATATATATATAATATATAATACATAATATATATATATATATATATATATAATATTATAATATATACCACATTATGTAGTAACACCACCACATATATGGGTACACATACATAATATATATAATATATATATGATAAATATAATATATATATAATATATATATTATATATATATTTTTATATATATAATATATATATATTATATATATATATATATATA